ATTTGTCGCATCGTGCATATCTTGGGATAGTGGTTATATCCCATTTTATCACGGGAAATCTCTATAATGAGAAGCACAAAATTCTGCCGCTATAGAGATCAATCAAGATTTAGGTACTGCACGATACTGGTGGAACCTCTTGTATTCACAAAGCAAATATGTAAAATGTCATATCTGGTGGCCATTTTACATAATATATGCTTAAGGTATTGTGTTAAAATCCTGAGATTGATGTGTTTGAAGATGAGTGGTACCTTAAAAGTTTTCAGTCGTGCTGTTGAAATTGCATTGCACATGAATTTCTTTAAATTTTGAACTCGATAATAAAACCCAAGTGGGCAACAATGAACCTCTGCAAAGGTGAAACCCCTTCTGGATATAAGAATAATTATTTAAAATTACTTTCATAATATATTCTTGGGGACCCCAAGCCATGGTTTATATTTAAACCTGTAACTAATTCACAACCCTAATGATTTTAATTTATTATAAAATCCAATAATTTTATTGTCCTGGTTTCAAATGCATACTGACAACTTTTATCATATTGTTCTTCCTCTGAATTTCTTGTTCCATCATTTAGTTTAAAAACTCTTGACTACCATAAATACTTATAGGCTTGATATATATATATTTTAGTGTTGTATGCCAGTCATGATTTACAATAGTAAGTCCTAAATAGCATTGCACTTAATTTATCTAAACTTAGCAATAAATTTTACTGCACCAAAATTCAGTTTCTTCCAAAAGTCAAATGTTTCCCTTCCTTGGACAAGATAGAAATTTCCATGTGACAATACACATTAATAGCATAAGCTAACTTCATGCTATTTCTTGATAGTTAAATTAAAACGACATAAAAGATATTTAATGTTTTCCTAAAACATTTCACTCTATACTGTTTATGTATCTTCTTGGGGTGGGCAAACAAATATTGCAGTTCAATTTTCCTCCACCATCTGTGAGGTATTCTTCGATTAGCAGGGTTTTGCGCAATTCCTGATTAGCATAATATGTAAAGAATAACACCTATGATTTATGCCTCCATTCCTCTGTATTTTTAAAGAACATACATTTTTTCCTTTTAATCTAGATTTAAAACATTAAAGTAAGGGAAAGATTGTTTGCTGAATTTAGATTTATATCATCATTTACGCATTACATAATAACTTACTGCATACTACCTCAGTGGGTTGCCATAAAAGAAATACATTTAGTAAAATCATGAGTGTATAAAATTGTTTTTCAGCCAAAAAAGAGAAGGGGAAAATAAATACCAGTTTGATTCACTTAATTTATCGAACTCAACATTGTTATTGTAAACTAGACATTAGCCATACTTTAATAGTTTGTCATCTCTGTATTTTTAGAACTTCGAATTAGAATGCCAATTTTATCTGCCATTGTTATGGAGCTGTAGGATATCGAAGTTATTTCTTAATGATAAAAAGAAATGAAATTTTTAATACCACATCTCATTCATATAACTTATTAACATATTGAAAAACAATTTAATTCATTTCGTGTTATATCTGAAATTAAAATTTGTAATACATTGACTAAAGATTCTTACAGGTCTTATTCCCATTTCCTCCAGGAAAAAGATAATTGCTGTGTAAAATGCATAAATATTTTCACGAGACTTATAATAGTGGTATTGAATTATTATAATGTTTATGTCATATAATGGATCTGTGAATTTCTTTTAAATAATTTTATAATCACAAATTTTATAAAATTAAGAAAGTAGTAAATTTTACAATTAAAATATGAATCCCACACTGCAGAAATACATACAAGAAGGAAAACACTGTAATATTTGAAATGCATGATTTATTTTTTAATAATTAATAATTATATTTTGATTTTCTATGACCGCATCTGATTTGCAACTGATTGCTTATACAAGTCACATATTTCACACAGTACATTAATATATTCTTCTGCTTTTCAATTATTTCCTTTTCTGCAGCTGTAATATCATCTCTCTTCCTTTTTTCTCTTCGGTCTCCTGCTTCGAATAGTTGAGCTTCTATCTGAGGGAAATTTTAAAAATTCATTCAAATTCAAATATTCTTAATTTTTATATTTCATAATGTAAAAACACTTTTTATAATAATAATTAAACAATGAAACTTCTCTAAAAAGGAACAATTCATAATATTGATTTCTTTAACTTTCAATTTTTTTTCCCTTTATAATTTTTTTAAGACTGTTTATAGATCAAGAGGATTTAATGATTATTATTTTAAATTCTTAAAATCTTGTTTCTTAATAAAAGACATACTCTGTATATAATGTTCGCAATAAAGAATTGAAATAACTCTTTTGTATGAGAAATATTAATTTACATCTGTTATAATTAATTTATACCAGCGGTTCTCAGCCGGTGGTATGCAAAGAAACAAAATATTTTTAACTATGAAATTCAAAAATCTCATAAAGAAAAGAATAGTTATAAGAGAAATTTCCTTTGATCGAAATTGACTTGAAGATTTGGAAAAATGACACACTTGTTAACTTTTGGCTGAACCGAAAAAAAGAATTTTAAAGGCATTTCAAATAAAGCTATCAAATTTGTATTGTCTTTTCGCACAACCTGTTTGTGTGAAAAATGATTTTTTCCATGTTAAATTTGAAATATAAATACTCACCAAAATAAAAAGTGGATCCTAATTTACCATTAAATGAAATAAGAGCAGACATAAAGAAATTAAATATTAAAGTATTTAACTGAAATTTTGATAATCAAGTGAATAATTAATTTAATTAAATTTAATTTTGATAATTAAGTAATCATCAGTTTTTAATCTAATTTTTTATGTGTACATATTTAATACAAAGAGTGTGCAAATGGCAATATATATATATATATATATGTTTTTAATATTTCTATTGAGGAATTTAAAAATAATCATTGTAAAATTAGTGGTGGTATTAATGTTTTTCAGTTTTTGCTTAGATGGTACACTATAGTCAAAAAGTTGGAAAACCGCCGATTTATACCATTAAAGATTTTCTGTTGGGAGGAAAAGGAAAAGAAGAATCCAGAAAACGTTAGATTTTATGTAATAGATACAAACTTGTCATTCCTAAATGCCATTGCATATTTCCTCGTGATACAGGTGTGGAATTTTCTAAAGTAAAAAAGAAAAAGCATAAAATAAAATAAGCATAATTTACTCAACAATCTTGACTGAAATATACATGCTTTCAGAGATAGCATAAAGCAAGAAAAGTTTACTCAACAATCTTGATTGAAATATACATGCTTTCAGAAATAATATACAAAGCATACTGCATAATCAAAGTTATGAGTTTATATACTATGAGATACTATACATGTTTATAATATACCACGTTCCTGTACACCTAACACCTCGTCCACAATTTCTATACAATTCATTAAAGATAGTTCCTGAACATAACTGACTTAAGAGAAACATGCATACTTCTAAATTTATGCATATAATTTGACAAACATTGATTTCAGGTAAAGAGCTACATGTATTATATCAAAGAAAGAATGAATAAGTGTAATTTGCCTTTATCCTACAAATACTTAAAAACATTTACATTAAAAAAAATGAATTATACATAATGGTAGCAAATTTTTAATGAAAAACAAACAAGAGTTGAAAACTAATGCAGTTTTTGTCAATATTTTACTCTCTTAAAATTTATATAATGTATAGAAACTTGAAATGCAATACCGCATTTGGCTGGAAAACTTGTGGTATTGTACTGCACTCTAGGGAAATTAAAAAGTATACAATGAAGCAATCATAAGAATAAAGATATTTGCATATTATTGAAACCACCTTAATAAAAGTTACCAATTTTCAAAAATGTGCCAAACTCTGACAACGATTATGTATCAAATTTTTCAGGTAACATGCTCATGACAATTTTTCATTCAAGCAATGTCACCATTTTTCATAGTGTTTTTTCTTATGTTTGTATTTCAAGTTCCAATGGATTTTAGATACGAATAGTTGTTTAGATTAATTTCAGATTTAAAATACTGCTTGTGGAGCTTACCATCAAAAGACGAAGCGTGTTAAAAGTTCTGCAGGAATAGAACATTTTAGTACAAAAATTTCTAATGGAAACAACTATGAGATGAATTTGGTACATAGACAAGGCATGCAGTATCAAAGATTTTTTTTTTTTTTTTTTTTTTTTATTCATGGCACAAGTCTAAAAAATTAAATTTGTGTATTTTTTTAAACTATCATATAATTTTTATTTAATAATCAAATTAGTATTTTAAAATTTGTTAAATGTTTTTTCCTTTGATATGTTGATAACATTTGCCAACTTAGATAAATATTGATAGTTTGGTTATGCTAAAAGCAAGCTGCAGAAATAACGTTCTTCTCCTGATAAGTATTTTTCTCTCTTCATTTATAAAGACCACCAAACTGATCCAGGTGTTTGTGTTAATAAGTATGTACCAAAAAATATTGAAGAATGCACAATGAAAGATGGAAAAGAAGTCTTTTACCATACAACCAGTATGGTAAAAGACATAATTAATATATGCAATGAAAGAAATCTTATTAAAAGACGACTTTCATTATGAGCAGAAGAAGCATGACACAGTTGCAGTAAAGAAATTAAGCTTTTGTTACTGCACTTGTAGCTTTTAATAGCCAAAAATTGTTTTTTTGAAATTTTTATGAAATAAATAAATCTGAACATAACTGATATCAAATGAGAATGGTCCAAACTTTCACTTAAGAAGCAGAAAGTGTACTGTAAATGCACAATATAATGAGCAGAACACAAAGCATAATTTATAAATTAACCTTTACTCTGGATGTATATATTACATTAATATCACATTAGAATTATCAGGTTTCATATAATTTTTTTTTATTTATTTGTATTACATGAAATACCTTTAATTTCATTTTTATATTTTCCCAACGATGTACAATATAAATCTAAAAATTGCTCTTAACTGTTTCATCACAATGAATGTCTAAGGGAAGGAATGCCTGCGTGGAAGACTAAGGAAAACTTAGTATTCATGTTATACATTGAAAAAATGAAGAAACACTCATGCAGCCAGCTTTTTCACCTGGATGTAAAGAGAGACTGGGATAGCGGTGTTCAGCAGGCTTATCTGCTTGTAGATAGATGGGCTTATTGATTACTATATATTCAAGAACTAGTTAATTTTCATATGGTAACATGCCTACTGTCACTGAATAATCATGCATCTGCATTAAACAATAAAAATAAACAAAATTGAATTTTAAATAACTTACTATTAGAAGAATTAAAAAAACCAATGCTGTAATTTGAAATGGGGAAAAAATGTGGTTTATATTTGAAAAAGCAAGGATTGTTTGTCTGAAAAGTAAAATATATTTTACACACACCTGTTGCTGTAGATTACTTTGGAGGGAATTTTCTATAGGAAAAGTAAATAAAGTTGTACACATTAAATACATGTTGTTACACATTCGTTTTCAGGACTGGAACAATTCGTTACACCACCTACAACGCAGTAAACACTTGACCATAAGCTCAGAGAAATCATGGGAAGTGATGTTTTTTGTTTACATCGACACGCAGTCTCATTGGATATTGATGTAGTTTATCGGACAAGCTCTCCTGGCACGAGAGCAAACCAGCTCCCCATTGCAATTTTGACGTCATCAGTTACCAGAGCGGTAAAGCGTTGCACTTGAATTCGACTTTAGCAGAGGATAGCAGGAACGCCTCTTGCGAGCTAACATTTGCAATTTATCAGAGCGTTGCATTTGAATTCGCCCCTTAGTAGTTAACTCATGCGCAGAATTTCTGTCAAATTGTTGGCAGTACCCTGCTAGCGTTGTTCTGATTACAAAATTTTTCGTGTTTGTGTACTGAATTTTTATTGCGCGCCAATTTGTACATAAACATTTCGAAGATAATTTTGCATTTCAGTCTTTATTATGGTAAAATGCTTGTTTAACTTTTTATGGTGTTATATAAGTTGCTTAATGAAATATGTTAATCGTAGCATTTTCTTTTCTCTCTTTGTTTATTTTCAGGCCGGGGGTAAAGCTGGTAAAGATTCCGGAAAGGCAAAAGCAAAAGCAATATCTAGGTCTGCTAGAGCAGGCTTGCAAGTATGTAATTGTTTTATTTTGTCTACATTTTTCGTTAAATTGTTGTTAATATGATAATGTGTTTCTAAACTTTTTAATTTTTCCTTAATCGTGTAATACGTGCAATCCGTAATATTATGGGCAGTAGTTTCGCTTTTTGTTTCTCGCGCCCATAATGCTTTCAGAGTGAAACTTTAAAGCAGTGCTTGAGTTTTTTTGAAACTCAAGCACTGCTTCCACCTATGTGCTGTATAATTTTCAAATTAAATATGTAATGAATATTAATTTTCAGATATTAAAAGCCTGATATTTTTGTTGTAATTATTTTCGTATTGATTTTATTTACATAACCATGTAAAGTGTACCGTATACTAAAATTAAACCAAATAAAAATTATTGAGAAAAAAATACTAATTAGTCAAACACTTCAATTACAAAACATGTTATACACAAAATGTATCAAATAATAAATGTTATAACTAATAAATGAACTAAATTTGTTAAAATATTTTCAACTGAACTAAACAAACTTAACTAACGATATTCAGTTTAATCATTAATAGGAAAAAGAAGGAAAATGCACATAAAAAAAAAGTTCAAGTTCAATTTTTTTTTAAAGTTCAAGAGGATATAGATGTTGGACGGTACGTTTTAAAGTCCCATTACCAATTTCTAGTTCGAATGATCAGACTTTACCATCACATCCAGGAATAGTTTTTATGATTCTACCAAGTTCCCATAACAGTTTGTTTTTATTATCTTCTTCAATTAAAACAACATCTCCTACCTTTAGTTCTGGTTGAAGTTTCGGATTCTTCAAGAAATGAGCAGTTCTAAGATCGAATAAATATTGTTGCTTCCGTTTGCACCACAACTGTTTTAACAGCAATTCTCTTATGCTTTCTTTTTAACAGCATTTCTTTTGTCGTTTCGCTACCAATGATTCTAGCAAAAGTCAAAAGATACTTCAAATCAGTTTGTCCAATGTTTAGGAAGTGCATTGGAGTCAAGGGTTGTGGTTCGTCATTGTCATTGTAAATGTAACTTAGAGGTCGTGAATTAAGAACTGACTCCACTTCGACACGTAGTGTGGCCATTTTTTCGAAGGTCAACAATGCTTTTCCTACGATTTTTCTTAAACATTCTTTAACAGATCTAACAAGTCTTTTCATAAAACCCTCCCCACCATGGGGCTCGTTCGATTATAAATTTCCAATGGATTCTTTCTTTGGCAATGAAATTCTTGAATTTGTCATCTTTTAAAACTTTTGAAAAATTCTCAAGTTCTTTTTCTTTGTCCTCTTAAAGTAGTGTCTTGGCGTTGTCAGAGTAGATGATTACGCAGTTTCCTCTTCTGCTCAAAAATCTGCGAAATGCAAGTAAAAAGGATTCTGTTGACATATCTGATACAAGTTCTAAGTGTACAGCTCAGGTTCCCTGCACAAACGAACAAAACAATATAGGATTTTCAAGTGTCTTTAGAATTTTTTACGTAAACTGGTCTGGCGAAATCAATGCCACAAATTGCAAATGGAGGCGATTTTTTGGATTATATCCTTAGGTAAGGGTGCTGTAATCTGGTCTGCTGGTTTAGCTAAATATTTTGGACAAATCAAAAAACCTTTTAATGCTTTTTTTTTACCAACTGTCGTCCTTTAGGAATCCAGAAACATGATCTGACTTTAGCTAAAGTTGCAGCAATTCCTTCCATGTATTATCTTCTCATGTTCTTTGCGTACAATTAGTATCGTTCAGTCGGGAATTTTTAGGTAAGGATTATTGGATGTTTATTATCTAGTGAGAAGTCAGAAAATTCCAATCTTCCTCTCAACCTCATGTTTTCTTTTTCATCAATGTAAGGAAGAAAATTGTACAAAGGAGAATTTTTTGCAACCGAATTACTGAGGGATTTATATTGTTCGGTAAAAAAACTTCTTTTGCTGTGGTGTTATCCAGAAATTTTCTGCTTCTTGTAACTCTTCAGCTGTGAGAGTTCCTTGAATGTCGCTAGTTTTTCTTAATTTTCTAATGAAACGTGTTGTTCAAGCAGTGACTCTTAAACACCTCTAATTTGCAATATTTTGATATGTCGAAAAGATCATCTGTACTTTTATTGATTGTACATTCAAGTTGATGTATATCACCGGATCCCTTTCAGTTCTCCAGTTTGTTTTCATCAATTGTTTCTTTAATATCTAATCTTGGCCAAAGTTTGTGAGGGAGTTAAAGTCACTGGAGACCTTGCGTCCAAATGGGCTCGTTTATTAATTTGGAAATCTTCGTTCCTTGAGGTACGAGATCTGCAGGGTTTTCAACACCTGGACAATAATGCCAAACTTTGAGGTGAGCTCAATTTTTGTATTTCTTCGACACGATTCTTGACAAAGGGTTTGAATACTTCAGGTTGTTTTTGGATCCAAAAATAAGTAATTGTTGAGTCTGTCCAAAAATAACACGGAATTTTCAATTTAAGTGCTTTCAGAATATTGCTGACTAACTTAACTGATAATAATGTCCCCATTAATTCTAACCTCAGTAAAGTAAGGGGTTTTAGTGGGACTACCCTATTTTCAGAAGAGACAAAGTTCGTTTTGATTTCTTTATTATTTGTCATGAAACGTAAATATGCGACTGTACCATAGGCTTTGACACTTTCATCTGAGAAGCAATGTAATTCGTGATTTTCGACATTAAAGTTCGAGTGCACAAAAGGGTAACGAGAGATGGAGAATTCAGCCATTTGAGGTAGCTCTTCACACTACTTTCTCCATTCAGAGAACATATCTTCAGGCAATGGTTCTTCCCTATCTATTTGTGATGACCAAATCTTCTGTATTAAGCACTTTATTCTAACAGTGAAAGGTCCTAAAATTCCAATCGGGTTGAATATCCGACCCAACACTTGTAGAAGAAATCATTTTGTTTCTATTGGTTTAGATGTGAAAGACGACAGGTTTCGAACATCAAAATACAGTAAGTCCTTTGAATTATTACATGCCATACCTAAGACCTTAAATGGGAAATTTTCTCTTTTAAAATCTTCAGGATTTTCATCTGGAATGATACCCTGCTTTACCTACAATTCATGTAGTTGTCTCAAGTTACTATGCCATTTGTGAAGCTGCATGCTTGCTTCCTTAAATACAGTATAAAGTCTTTAATTCGGACTTGTCGGGACTTCGGCGATTCTGGATTGGTGGTTTTTCCAAATTACAGATCTTCAATTTAAATCTGGTAAGATGGCATGCAGAAATTATACAATTAAAAATATGAAACCGTAATTAATGAAATAAAGAGCAATTATGTTCTAATTATGAAATTTACAAAAAAAAAAAGCTTAATATTTATTTGTTTACTTTATTAAACATTTCTTTCAACGCGTGCATGTGTAAAGCATACATTACACGTAGTCGAAATTAGAAAATTGCAACCAGAAAACTACTTGATGTGTATTCGTAATATTTTTAATGACAAGGAAATTGATTTAAATCATATTGGAGTACATCGAGACGAAACACCAGATTTAGTAAGGAATTATAAGCCGGATAAAATAAAAACATCTGCTCTGAAGATGAGGTTAGTGCTGACAGATCAACTTCCTGTTCATTGTGCGCCACAACGTTTCCTCCCCTGCAGAGCAGCGTGAAATTAATAAACAGATTTCGGAATGGTTAGAGAAACTAATCGCCTCTCTGTCACTTTCTTCATGCCTTTATCCATTTTTTGCAGCAATTCCACTTTTTGTTTAATGGACATCGAAACGTGCTTTTGCTTTGTAGATCCTTTGGCAGCTCCAGAATTGGAAATTCTTTTTGACATAATCGAAAGTTCAAGCTTACTTTTTTATAAAATTGCTCTAACAGTCTGCAAAAAATAATAAGCCGGATCCATTTAGAAGATTAAGGAACAACGCAATCTGCAACATTAACTGAAATAGATAATTAGATAATTTTATCCTAGCTTATACCATCTGTTATACATTAAACGTGCATGCGTAAACGTATTATGCGCATGCACAGAAAGTTTGTAGCTTTGAGGTCCGGATTATGGACGTCTGGATTAAAGACTTTATACTGTTTTTGGACCGATTCTAGACTCGTAGTTAATGCTTCATTGATCGTGAGTTGGCTTCCAATCATGTCATCTACATATACGTTCTCATTCAAAAAGGGAACCATTGTAGAATAAAGTTTATTATATTTTTTTCAGATGATGTTTTAATGGTAGCGGCTAATAGAAATGGACTACTATTTATTCCGAATAAAACTCTAGTGAACCTATATATGTCAGGAGAAATGGTTTCATCATTAGGGAATTCGGGAAACAAACCTGGTTGCGTCCTGATCCTTTTCATATATGAGAATCTGTAAAAAGGCTTTAATATATATTTTTGTGTTTTATATCTGCGGTGAAAGCTATTGGATTATACCAAAATCTTAACAATATTTCAAATATTTCAGGGTATAACTTTGGCCCAACATGTAGACAGTCATTTAATGAAATGGATCCTGAGGCATGCGATGATGCTTCATAAACAATACATAATTTACTTGTAGCTCGATCCTCGCGTATAACTTCCCTATGTGGTAAGTAAAACCCTAGATTTAGTAAGGAATTATAAGCCGGATAAAATAAAAACATCTGCTCTGAAGATGAGGTTAGTGCTGACAGATCAACTTCCTGTTCATTGCGCGCCACAACGTTTCCTCCCCTGCAGAGCAGCGTGAAATTAATAAACATCATCTTCATTTGAAACGACATCCTCTTCATTTGAAATTTCTGTAACTGGTTCAATAATATTTTGTTTTAACTGATCTCTCAATACGTTCCTGTGTTCGGAAAATATATTACAATTTTTTTAAAATCGTTTTCTAAGTCGATTAAATCTTTGTTTCGTGATTTCCCTGTTATTATTTAGATTTGATGTGTCCTGTTTCCAAGGCAATCTATCTTCGTAGCGAGAATTTTCATATGTTATATTTGATTCGAAATATTCGACAACTTCATTTGCAGTTGAATCG